ACTAGACCTAGAACTAGAAACATTCGGCTTGAGCCGTCTAGTGTTAGTTCTAGTTTTAATTGTTATGCATCGCTAGACCAAGAACTAGAATCTTTCGGATTTAGCCATCTTTAAAGACGTACGGCTAAACTCAAATGATTCTAGTTCTAGGTCTAAGTTAGTTCTAGTGACAGCACAAGTGTGAAACTACAACTAACACTATACCTACAACTAGAATCATTAGGATTTAGCCGTCTTTAGAGACGTGCGGCTAAATCCAAATGATTCTAGTTCTGGGTATAGTGTTACTTCTTGGTCTAACGCTGAATAACAATTAAAACTAGTACTACTTGTTCTATCAGAACTACATATACAACTTATTATTTTAGTTTGAAATAGTTTTCATGAAGAGATTTTTTTAATTAGAGATTTTTTCTTTTGTTAAGAAAACTAGACGTTGCAAATTTCCCGATTTAAAATTGTAGAAAATGATGACCTTCTATTTCTTAAAAAAATCTGTGATAATGTATTAAATTATATTCATAAAACTCATCAGTGATTAACTTTTTCCAATCCAATCATGTTTAAAAAAAAATATCCTTTAAAAATTTCATTTGTTAAACGGACGATGACATTACAGGTTCGTTACAATTGCAAAACGGCAATCCTAAATGCAAAATCCATTCCCGGACAGTAGAAGAGGAAACCGAAGATATCCCCTTCTAGGGGGTTTTCCCGGCTTCGCCCTTCTTAATTGTGCAAATTTATGCGAAGATACCTCCGCTATTCCGGGCAGTTAATTCGCGCCGTATTAATCAGAGGCGCCCGTTTTTAAGGGGCGGTTCCTGCCGGTTTCCCCACCACTATACAGCCCTCGGTGTCGCGGTATCGATCTTCGCTCTGCTCTGCCGGAGCGAACGTTTGCGGAAGCTGCTGGTGCGTTCCCATTGCTCCTGCTGCATTCTCCGCCAAGATATCCTGCTAATAAATTAAGTTGTTTAAGAGCGACGAACCGGCCGCTTGATTAATTGTCAACTTTATTCAGTAAATTTCATTTGCGGAAAGTTCCGACGATGGGTTTGTTTGAATGTGTCTGTTCCATCTACTGTTCGCTGAAGGAAAACAATTCCTGGTTCGGAACGACAGCCATATTTCTCCCGGAACGGCGTAATAGAACTGTTTTTTTACGCGAACACTGCGATTTCGTTTTGGAAACTGCCTGTATAATTGGGGTATAGTGCTTTTGAGGTTTCCAGGCAATTTCGCGGATTACAATATTGATTAGAATATAAATAACTTTTCTTCTTGTTTTGATTCTCCTTAAAATATTATCTACATCACCTCGGAGTAGTTAACATTTAAAGATCGTTAACTTTTAAAACGTAATAAATAATAAACAGATGGAAGGGTGTGGAATGAATAGAAAGTGTGACTGAATATCATACCTTTTGAGCTTTCAGTAATGAATCCGTTAGATGCGGTCTCTAAATATAGTCGGATGAAATAGGATGTTGCCATTGTGATTGAAAAACAATTAAGCCTCTGGTTTATTGTTTCTCATTCATTTGTTAAAAATATTCAATCATGCATCGATAGGCTTGGTTAAAAGCTAACTGTACATTTATAGTATTCATGTTCTAATTAAGAATTAACTCTGTATTGTCTTCACTTTAATATTTTAAATCAATGAACGTCACATGTTGATAAATAAACAAAGAGCAACCGCAATTTTCCTCTAACAGGATATTTATTTCTTCATACCAAGTGCCAATAGATCGGATAGTGCCTTGTTAGCTCCTTAATATTTGATAAATTCTCTCCAAGAACGGCTTCTCGAGAAGAAAACAGCAATATAAATTTATATACGGCATCGATTAACAATAAATAGACACGGTTAGTGCTGCGATAGCTTATTTCACCTCGCTACCAAAATTGGCCAATATTTAATAAATTTTCTAAACGACATGAAACGAGCATGTTTGTAAACTCCATTTAGTATTAGGTCCATAATAATAAATCGAGTTTTAATTCTGAGAAAATGTAAAGTGGACAGTAATCAACGACTATTACCATAAATACTTGAGTGGTGACTCATATTTAAACGTTATCCTTAATTCTAGAAATCCACATTGAGTCTTTTAAGAAAGTTTTCGATTTTAAGCACTTAGAACTTGCTCCGGTTCACCGTTAAATCCATAGATAGGATCCTTGAATGAAATTTATGTGTAGACGCATAGGGAGTAATGGTGTTATTAAGTTAATGTGACTCCTAGTTATCAGAACGGCATGAACACGTGCAATTCAGTAAGCCGCGGAATTATTGAACCGTTGAACCGTGATTTGGTTATGGCAGCGCCGGGAGCAAGTAAAACTTTACAAATCTGCAATTATCCCACCGGTCCACGGTTAGCTTTGCATTGGCATTAATTGGGACGGGCTCACCGTTTTAACCTATCCAGTACAATTTCAATTACTAATCAACGAATTAATGCGCAATCGCGAGTGGAAACAAATGGACATCCAGTCAGTTGTATATTTTGACGTTGGAATTACTATAAATGCCCCGATTTAACTTAATTGCCCTATTTGCTAATAAACAATATATCATTTTGAAAATTATTATTCCAATTTAACTTAACAAGTCTGTTCCCCTTTTACTATATACAATTATTTGATTTCATTTGATTTCACAGTTTCATATCGAAATATTACATTTTGTTTTCGTAAAGCGTCGCATTGATTATATGCAATAACAACTGGAAATTACCTATATGGAAAGATATTTAAATTAATATGATATTATTGAAAACTGTATATGTTGATTTAATAACTTAGAAACATATCAGATAGTTCTGTGCCTAATATTTTGCTACCTACAGGCAGAGTACATGTTCTGAATAGGTAAAATGCAAGGTCTAATACACACGACAACCAAAATTGGAAGTTTACTAGAAAGAAACGAAGGTATGAAGTGGAGTAGAAGAGGAATATAGGCTAATACAGAGATTGTTAAAGAAAAATGGTTGCAGAATGCAAAATCTCCAAAAATGGAGCAATTGAAAAATGAGTAGCTGATAACAAATAACAAAAACGCAGAATACTTAAAAATTATACGTGGAAGTAGAGTGCATGTTTAGAATACTCAATAACGAGTTAATAATGGCAGCTTGGTGTAGAGGTATGGAAGACATCGAGTTCTGGAAAAGGAAGATCATAGGCAATATATAGAGTGTGCTAAAAAGCAACTTAATCAGATTGCATCATATGTTGAAGAGGAAGAGAGCTAGACTCAGAGTCTGTTAAATAGAAACAAAAACCTTCTTAAGGATTAATAAATATTATAACCCAGTGGAAACCATATTGTAGAAACATTAAAACCAGATGCAAAAAAGGTGTCTGATAAAGAGGAGGAAATACGAATTTGAACGGGGTCAATAGACAGTAAAATGAAAACAATTTGGGCATATGGATAACAATGATAAGTGGAATATGCAAAAAACAGAAGTAGGGTAAAGAAGCTGTTAAATAACTACACTACAGAGTTGGTGGAAGTCGTTTCAAATTTTTGATTCCTTAGGGTTGGTGGAATGAATTGTAGTTCTTAAAAAATAGTTATCATAAAACTTTGAAGCTTTAATAAATAATAGTGTTCAGGATTAATAAGAATTATAAGTTAATGGAAACTATCTAAAAACATAAAACGTAATTATAAGTTGTAGAAAAATTAAAAACCTAGGCATAATGTGTTGTCTGATGAAGACGAGTGGAAATGGAATGTGGATTTGAACAGGGTCAATAGGGATTATAACAAAATAGAAACTATTTAGGCATATGGATCATTGTAATAAGTTCTGAAAAAATAAAAAGCTAAAGTAAGATGGAGAGGCTATAAAAAGACCATACTTAGACCATACTATACACCTTTCAGAAAAGAGAAACCTGGAAAAGATTCGCAAGAATTCCCTACGGTTGTTATTTAGTGTGAAGTGTTGACGCTCATTGTACGCCTGAAAAAAGTAGTATTAAAAGGTAAGTAAGCCGAGGTCGTTTGAGACATTATTGTGTCTGTTGTACAATATTGTATTGATATGGCTTAAATTGTAGCACCTCGATCGTGAGCAACCTCGGTTTATTTAATCTCAGATATACACTCTTCATTCATAGTCTAGCCGAGGTCGTTGGAGGCTGACACGGTCCAATTGATACCACAACGCTACAATATTGGATAAGTGATGTTCTGGTGTCCCAATCAAGTAAGTAAGTAAGCTGGACTCATATCATAGTCAAGCTATTAATTAATATCATATCACTGAAATATTGTATTACACATAAAGCAACTTAATCCCGTTCGTTCTTTCCATGTGATCTTTGATGCAAAAATGAGCACTTTGTGAAAAATTGAAGTATCAATAAGTCATTACAGCCATTATATTTGTTTAAAAGTAGGTATAGTAAATTTGATTCACTGTAGCATATAGAGGTAAGCTTTGACGGTTAAGGAGATGCCAGATAAATTAAGATTCGTTTTAAATAACGCAATAAAGGTGGATAATTTTATTAAATCATTACATTTTAATTATTTAAAACACTGTAAAATCACGACTTTCTGGAATTGTATATACGAATTTTGTGATAGTTTCCTTCTTCATACAGAAGTTGGAACGTAAAATCTCAATTATTTGAACTTTGGTTAGAAGTTCAAATATTTTTAACTAACAAAAACATCCACTGAAACAGAAGCCTACTAATAGAAGTTAGTTATTTTAATTAGCATACATGTGAGATATTTTCGTCCGACTGAATTATTTAAATTTATTAACCTAAACCTTCTGAAACTTCCATTCTAGCACATTTTTTTAAAGTCAAATAGTTATGTTTGAAATTTAGGAATTTTACGAACCTAAATTTTATCAAACCCAATTTAATAAATACCCTTTTTAATTTATGTAAATTTATAAAATTTTGTAAATAATTTTATGTTGACTACCTATGTTATAATAAAGACAAAATAATATACTTACATATAACGCTAAGTCGGGCGTTCGCTCTGATAGCTTTGTGCATCCTGGCAGGACCCACTTGACACTGATATTCAGCGTCGTCCTCAAGAGAAGCGTTGCTAACCCTCAGGTTGTATACTCCGTGTCTCCTGTCCCCTATAACGGAGTATCTAGGAAATCCAGGGATTATGGCCTCGAAACCTGTCAACAGAATGAGTAAACATGAGACACCTTGGCACACTGCAGACGACGACCACCACCGCAGCAGGATCACACGTGGAACATCCTCCACTTTAACGCGTACATCGATCAAGTTTTTATAACAATGTTCCAACTTAACTCATTTTCCTTTCTTTCTATGTCTGTATCTAATCATAAAGTATGAATTATGAAAGTGATAAGTATCTATAATAGCCATAACTGTTTACATTTCTTAGTTAACATTGTAATTTCCTCAATCGTGTTGGTAAAGATTTCCCATTAATTATTGCATAAATTAAGTATGTAGAAGTAACCGACTATTACCGGTAATTATAAGGCGGAAAGCGGTATTTAGTCTTTGTAAAGTATCTTTGTGGTTATAACGATCGTAAACGTATTACTACTACCGAAGTTAACTCGTGGGATACTAACAAATACATAATACATTTCCAGTTTAATTTGAAAATAACTTCAAAGAATATCATTTATAAATAAATCGTTAAGGATTAACGCCAGGTTTTTGTTAATATCCATTTCAAAATAAATTCCACTTCGAACTACTTAGATACCGTTTCGAAAACCATTCGAGATCATCAGACCAATTCAGGTCTCTAACATTCTGCTACTTGGAAATTGAAAGAGACACCGTTGTGTGTCCCGATATCGTAGAAACTAATTAGAGACCGTTTTCAATTATTGAAAATCGTAGCATTTACAGATGCTGCTTCAAATCAAATTGGATTAGATTAACAATTAATAAGAATCTTTTTTACTTTAATAATATAAAAACATATTTATATATTATATAATTTCTGTTTAATTACTTATAATCATTTTATATTTAATCACAACGTAAAGGGCTTTAACGTTTCTGGATGACATACGTTTGTTTTGAGAACTCGCCAATTTATTTAAACTGTTATGTTCGTTTGTTGGTTTACCAATACTCTAGTGAAGTATTGCTAACATCGATGTCTGTAATTTGCCCCGGCATTGTACGGCGGGAGTTAAAATTAACGTGTTGTTTGCGGATCGTTCCGTCTTATTCCGTGCTGACATATGGCATCCGTATGCTGACGGTTACCGTGGGCACAAAAAAGCCGCCATAAGCTGTCCGTCGGTTCTCTTCGCTTCTTCTACTGCTGCATCGCGTGCTTTTTGTTCCGTTTTCGAAAGCAGCGAATAAATATTTTTACGAGTATCGAATTACCGGCGTTATGAATACTGTTGTTACTTATTTTTTTCTTATTCGCTCAGTCGTTTCATATGATACGGATTGGCTTCTTTTTGTACATTCCTTTTATTTGTAAGGTTTCAAGAATAATACATGTGGTTCGGTTGACTTTGTCTATTTATGATGGTGTGTGATATTTTTAGAGTTAGCCGTATCAAAAATAATTTATCGTTCTTTTTTTTTTTTTAATTTTAATTTATGGATTTTGATATGGTTGTAACAAATAAATACGATTTATGGAGAATTTATGTTGGTGGAAGATTGCTAAGATAATGGGCAAATAGAATTTACGATAAATCGTGTACCTGTTCTTAATAACAAAACCTTGACTTTTACGTATATTTATTAAAAGGTTGGATGTCATTCAAAGTGTGGTGTACCACTTCCTTTTAGTTTATAGACACGTTTTATAAGAGTTTTTCGATTAGAACTATAATCACGTTTACAGAGATTCTATCTGATTAATATAAAATGTTAATATTGAAAATGACAATTATTAAGAAATGTAATATAATATTAATGTAGTATTAATGTGTAAAGTAAGAATACTTTGGGTTCATAATTTATTATCCAATTTCTAATTAACAAGACATATAAGAGCATTTGTTTCGTATAATATTTGTACTTTAATACTGACTTTTCGAAACCTGTAAGAAACCAATAAGAAGTTGGAAAATCGCCAGAAAGAAGCCTATGAGTTGGTAGAAAAACAAGAAAGAAGTTCGACTTCTTATTTTCTTACTTTGCCAAAGAAAATCCAGATAAAGCCAATAACAAAGAAATTGTATCTAGTTCACGGTATCAACACTTTTATTGTTTAAAGAGAACAACAACTTATCAGTTGAGATTGATTTAATTTTGACTTTTTCGTGTCTTCTTACTCGTTTAAGTAAACATCGAAAAGCAAACAGAAAATATTAAAAAAGTAGAGACTTTGTATGGAGTTACCTGAACGAAGACTTGATACTGGCATGATAAAGATTCAAAGTATGATTGAGGTTAACTACATCTATTAAGTCAGCAGTTATAATGGAGATTTGATGCAAACATCAAAGAATTGCAAACTTTGACTCTACGTGACTTGATAGAAGCATGGTGAAAGGTTGTTGCAAACATGAAGTAGATTTCATACTTACGGTTAACGACAGTGGCATCGACAGCACGTATAAAATGATACAAAACGTATAAATTGCGAGATAGAGAAAGAGCAGAGCAGTCCGAGCGACAAATGGAAAGTAACAGAATTTATTTGGAAAGTGGAAACATAAAGAATAACTGTAAATACTTAAAAAATTTAATCTTGAGTACATCATGAGAAGTGTGAGGAATAAATAGACGGAAAATAGAAATTTACAATAATTACCTAAAAGAAATGAAGAAGACAAAGGAAATGATAACTCATGACAAAAATGAACAATGGAATAAATTTGGAGGGAAGACAGTAAAGAGTTGCGCAAAGAACCAGAGAGTATTCGAATACTGATATTCTTAAGAACAGAACGGGACTAAATGTAGAAATTATTAAAAATATGAAGGGCAAAATACTGACAGAGAAAAATGAAATTATCGCAAGATGAAGAGAGTCGCTAAATAAAGCACAGGAAAGAGAGACACAAACACAATTAATAGAAGATGGGGAGGGAGATGAGGAAAAAGAGACAAGAAGAAGAATTGCAGGCAGAAATTAGATTATAGCTAAAAAATAGATAGACTACTGAGTCCGATAAAATAACATCGAAAACTATTAAGCATATAGGACAAAGAAGAAGAACTATACTACTGCACAGGTATACTAAGGTATGGAGTGAAGAAGAAGTACCAGTAGACTGGGAGAACGCATTAATCGTATCTATATACCCAAATTGAGATGCATGGATTGTTAAAACTGTTGTGGTATTGCATTACTAAGCACAACTGAGAAAGTACTGAAGAAAATAATAAACAAAGGACTGGGAGATGAAGTAGAAAAAAGGCTGGAGAAGACACAAAGCGTCTCTAGATCTTGAAAATGTTTCGATGGTATACTCAAGCAAATACTGTGACAAATTTTAACGGAAAGACAAAGACTTACAAAGAAAATATAAAATAAATACCAAAGCAGTTTTAAGAAATAATTTGATATCAGAAGCATTTACAACAAACATGGGATTAGAAGAAAGAGGAAGTCTCAGCCCGTTGCTGTCCATCTTACTCATGGACCAAGTTATCAAGAAATGTAGACAAAGAAACTAAGAGTTAAAACTACAAAGAATACAAGCAATTGAAGAAGTATTCGCAGATAATATTATATTATTTGCCGAAAATAAAAATTATCTAAAAAACATAGATACATGATATACAGTAATGAAAGAATTTGGTATGATTGTTAATAAGTGCAAAGCTAAGGTAATGATGATTGGGAAAGATACAGAGGATACATACATAAGACTTAAGGGAACGAGATATATTCAATACCAGGAGAAGGAAACCAAGGAAAGGGAAACAAGTGCGGGTATCATTATGTCTTCCAAAATATGAGAGCTTACCATTAATTATTAATTTATTCAGATAAGCTAAAGCCCAGATTCATTAAGACTGTTAGTTTGACACTTCATTTCAATACTTTCCCAGTTATTGGAGCAACACTAGAATTTCCTTTTATGGCACGTTTTTGATTAATGAGAAAATGATGTATAAGTTTAAAAAATCATGTATTTTATTTTGATCTGTTGGCCACCACGTTAATATACTATTTGATGAGTATTCACATTTACTTTCTTTAATTGCTTCTAGTAGCATCTGAGTTGATGTGTTTTGACTATGAATCTATTTATTGTTTACTCAAAAAGTTTAAATACTAGTGTACTTATAAGTTTTTGCTTTTAAGCTTACACTTGTAGTTTGAATCTTTGGGTATTTGCTATAATGCATACATCAAGCTAGTTATAATAACGACTGTATGAAGATTTTGTGTGATTTTGAACGAGTCTTGATAAATTTCTATATGCAGTTTAAAAGTCTTGGTGCAGACTTGACTTAACAGTTAGCATGATTCAGATTTAAAGCAGGATTAATGGAGGCTTTATGCAATTTTCTACTTAAAGAGATAAGATTTATCCCTCTTCTTTAAAAACTTGATCGTGGATTAATAACATGATTGAACAAAGTAACATTCCACTCGTTGAAATATTAACGTTAAATGTATTAACATTAATATTAATGTAGTCAATTTATCAATCTAATTGATAATTTTATTTAAATTATTTCTTATTTCTGTTTCTAATTAGGTAATAATGTAACCCACTTTACATTATAGTAACGCAAAAACAACAATTTGCGTTAGTATATAATTTATTAATTAAATGTCAGTTGTATATATTCTAATAGGCATTTTGATTTAGGAATTTATGTTGACTCGAATTTAATGAAAATAGCCAGGTTGTGCTCCCCACTTAACTAAAAGTAAAAAAGCTTAACGAACAGTTAGGTTTCAATTCGTCATACCAATAACAAGTTTTCAGTCGGTCAGTAACGGGATCGCAAATTTTAAATCATTCGAAATGCCATTATAACATTATAACCCGTACAATTTCTCCATTTACTACTTATTTTTATGATTTATAAATTGTTTTTAAATTTTTCAACGTATTTTAAACGTAAATACATCTTGTTAAGAGTAACCGCTTCTGTTAAACACGTGTGTTTATTAAACTGACGATTTTTCCCACTAAACACGTTCAAATCGAAACTTTCCAACTTTCAGTAAACAAACATCGCTCTTTCCAAT